TAACGAGCGCGAGAAACGAGGAAAGAAATAATTTCTGGAAATCGCCAAAAAGAAACTCCCTAGATGCGTAAATTGAGGTCATCGTGTAGCCCAGACTAGTGTAACTCAGCCCTTGCCCAAGCCAGCTTGATCAAGAGCTAGGGGGTAACTAATGATACATAGAATAATTTCCAAATAATGAGCTCAGGCGCGGAGGTCAGACAAGGAGGTCTGGCAAAGCACGCAGAACTCAGAGGACCAGAGCCAGGGCCAGGGCTCCCTCCAAACGAAGCAATAACATAAATGATAAGGGAATAGCTAGATGTTAGCAGGAACCCTACAAGCGACGAAGAATCATGTTTAAGGCGTAAAACCTTCAGCCTACCAAGATATTCTCCAAAAATCAAGGAGGAATCCACAGGCGAAAGGCAAGGATCTCAGCAGAAATCTCACAGATCGAGGAACAGCTCTATAAATATTGTATAATACCCAATAGGAGGGAGAGGGTTTTTTAGCAGCACAAGTGACTGATTGTAAATTTCATTCCCCATTATAGAAAAGAAAGGAGCAAGAGTCTCTATTAAAGAGTGGATTAGTCGAGCTCTCGAGCTGGTGAACCACTATACTTTTATTGTGCACAACTCTCCAAATTCCTCAGTATTCTTTACATAAATCACACGAGCCTTGAAGTTCAAACCCAAGTTATCAAGTATAATACATTCCCTCTGTTCGTCCACACTAATTTACACCATCACCCAATATGAAATACATTATCTTGTTTGTGCCACGTTTAGATGATAAGGACTTTGAAGTCTGCTTTCAGCCTTCTAAGGTTTCTATTGGTAAACATGGCCGTATTTGCATGGGATACTAAAGTTGATGGTCTTTACCGTTTGAATGTTACTAGTGACAATAATAAAATTGGTTCTTCGCTGCTTGTATCAATGTCTCTTGTGATGTTAGTGTTGATTCTATTTTATGGCATATAAGACTAGGTCATATTAATTATAATAAAATGAAAAAAATGGTTAACATTGGATTGATTCCAAATTTAGATCTTGACTTGAAACAAAGTGAATCTTGTATAAGTGGAAAAATAACTACAAAGCCATTTGAAAAATTAGAAAGAGCTAAAGATTTGTTATACTTAATTCATTCGGATATTTGTGGTCCTTCAAATGTTAAAACTCATGTGGTATGAAATATTTTATTACTTTCACCAATGACTATTCAAGACATGGTTGTATATATTTACTAAAGAATAGATTGGATGTCTTACAAAAATTTATTGAATTTAAGACGGAAGTAAAAAATCTACTAGATAGAAAAATTAAAATATTAAGGACGGATCGAGGTGGTGAATACATGGCTAAAATTTTTGAATCTTTTTGTAAAGAAAATGAAATAATACATCAATTAACAATTTCTTATACACCGCAACAAAACGATGTAACCGAAAGGAAAAATAGAACACTTCTTGACATGGTTAGATCAATGCTTAGTCATGCACACATAACATTTTAGGGTGAGACTATTTCTACCGCCATTTATATTCTTAATAGAGTACCCTCTAAAATAATAGAAATGACACCATATGAAATTTTGAGGGGTACAAAACTAAGTCTTTCTCACTTAAAATTTTAAGGTAGTTCGGCTCATGTTAAAATTTTATGACCTAATAGAGGAAAATTAGATCCTAAATCAATAAAATGTACTTTCATTGGATTTTGTGAAAATTCAATTGGCTATAGATTTGTAATTCACCATAATGATGGATCAATGGGAGTCATCGAAAATAGAGATGAATTTGTCTTTGAAGATGACTAAGATAAAATTGAGGAGATAGTTGAACTTTTTGAAATTACTAAGCAAAATAAAAATATACAACTACAAGAGCAAATAATAAAAAAGCCTCCACCCAAAGATACTTTAACTAGAATACAAAGGGAAAAACATCCACCTATCTACTTAAAAGATTATTATGCATTCAATAGTGAAGAAATTCTAAATAATCTTATTAATTTTAATGATGCTATAAATTTAATAGATCATTTAAAATAGAGAGAAGCAATTAAAGAAGAAATATAATCTATAGAGAAAAATAAAGTTTGGGAGCTAGTTGATTTTCCAAAAGAGAAAAAAGCAATTGGGAATAAATGGTCTTTAAAAAAGATTTTAAATCGGATGAATCCAAAGATAAATATAAAGCTAGACTAGTGGCTAAGGGACACACACAAAAGAAAGGAATAGATTATGATGAAACCTATTCTCCCATAGCCAAGTTTACCTCAATAAGAATATTAATGTCCTTAATTGCATACTTCGACCTAAAGTTATATCAAATGGACGTTAAGACTGTTTTTCTTAATGATGAACTTAAAAAAAAAATTTATGCGTATCAACCGCAAGGATATCAAGTTGAAGGTAAAGAAGATAAGGTGTACAAATTGAATAAGTCGTTATATGGCTTAAAACAGTCCTCAAGGCAATGGTGTCATACTTTTCATAATGCAATTTTATCTTATGATTTTGTTCCAAATAACTATGATCATTATATATATACTTGGAATAGTAGAAATTGTTATATTATTCTTTTCTTGTATGTGAATGATATTTGACTTGTCATAAATGATATAAATAGAATCTTAGAACTACAAGATTGATTAAATACCAAGTTTGAAATGGAAGATATGGTGAAGCATATTATGTATTTGGAATGAAAATTTCTAAAGATAGAAAGCAAAGAAAATTGAGTTTATCTCAAAAATCTTATTTGGAAAATATTTTAAAGAAATTCAAAATGGATTCTTATAAACTTATTGAATCACTCATTTACAAAGGAGCAAAATTGTCTAAAAATATGGCTCCTAAAACTGAAGAAGAAATATAAGAAATAAAATCTAAACCTTACGTGGAAGTTGTTGATTGTCTTATGTATATTATGTTGTGCACTAGATCGGATCTTAACTATGTTGTTGGTTTGATTAGTCGATATCAAAATAATCCGGGTATACCTCATTGGTTAGTTGTTAAACGTGTATTTAGATACATATGAGACACATCAGATTTTTCATTAACATATCAAGCTGATGATATATATGTTAATAGTTATTGTGATGCTGATTTTTCTGGTGATATTAATGATAGAAAATTTACAACATGCTAAAAGTACTATGGAAGTTGAATGTTACTTATAGTATGGTTGTTTTTGAGGCCATATGGTTGAAATAGTTTTTAACTGATTTAAAGTTTATCTATGTAAATAACATGTCTATTCGTATTTTTTGTGATAATGAAGCCAAAAAATGAAAAAAAATGAAAAAATTGGCCTCAAATGTAAGCATATTGAGTTACAATATCACTATATGAATGATATAATACAAAAATAGCACATCACAATTGATTATCTTTATTGAAAAGATATAGTTGCAGACACATTGACAAAACCTATTGAAACTGAATAATTTAAACGACATGTCGTTGCTATGGGTTTAAGTTATAAATGAACATTTCGGGCTTGTAGTCAAGTGAAAGATGTTGGAATATGTGGTTAAAATCTCTCGATATTAATTAAGTCACGGTTGGTGGTTAAATCTGGAATATATAAAACCTCAACTTGTTGGTTAAATATTGCATTATTCATGACATGAATCATATATGTATTTTTTGTGAAATTATTTTGTACTAAACATTATTTTATAATGATACATGCATACATATATATCGCATTAATTTAATTGAATGTTTGGGTTGCATCTTTTTTAATCAGTATAAGTAACTTGGCTAGAGAGACCCATCAATTACTTTGAATATTTTTAACCTTCTTTGACTGTAGAGAGTTGAAAAAATATTGATAGAATTGAGAATATTATGGTGAGTGGTAACGGTTAGTTGAATCCTCCACTATAAATAAGGATCTCTAGATACAAAAGAAAACACACTAGAAAACACCCAATTGAAAGAAAACTCATTGAGAGGAAATCTCAACTCTACTACTTTCATATTAAAGAGAGTTTTTAATTCTCAAAAGTTGGCTCTCCATTCATCAAAGTTATCAAATCTTATTCAGCCAATTCCTTCAGGTCTAATACTTTGTTTAGTAGATAAACTTAATTCTGTATTAATTTCAAAAATATATATTAATTGTATATTTATTGTGTATTTTTAATAGTATAGACCTGTATTATGAAAGTATTTTAATGTCACCAAGAAAAATGGTATTATAATCTAACTCAAATGTATTATTGTACACATTTCTATTAAACCCCCCCCCCCCAAACAATTGATAAAACTAAGCTATCATCAACATAACAAACACTTCAACAGATATTTTTGTTAATTCAACATTAATATGATGAAATAATTTTCTAACCAAACAACCGAATGAATTAAATAACTACTATCCAACGCTTATGTTGTGTATTGCCCAACACTAGATAAAATTACGTATAATTCTAATATCCTATTTAATCTTATCTTTTATCCATATTTATTGAATTACACTGAATTATTTTATTCAATTCATCTATTTCTAATGCGACAACCAAAGTCTTAACAGAGGAAGACTTCTCTCACCATAACATTTAGCACCATTCATTTGCAAGATCTTATGGCTGACCAACACCAACACCCAACCATTATTCAGAAGTTAGCAAGCCAGCTACATCCCAATCAGCCGAGTAAACAGTCGTTAGAATAGTAATACCATATCATCATCGACATTGGTGTCACGCCCCCATTTTTTATTTTTTTGTCACGCTCCAAAAATAAATCACCATGTAGATGTATAGTAACACACACAATTCCGTAAACACCACATCCTTAGCTAATAACCCTTACAGAGGCATATATGAGGTTCCCCGGTTCATTGAATGGGTTTATTATTCAATGATGATATACCTATCAGTGATGATGATGTATCACCATTGTATCAAATATTTACTCCAGTCCACCACCATACATTTCTCATGGCAATCTTTCTAATATAGTAGTGCAATATCCTCATCTACATTTTGAGCCACCTGTGATGTCCCTGGTTGTACAAATCTTTCACTTGTATTTGTTTTCAGTCTCCTCCGGGAGGGAATCACAAGCTTTGATAGAAATTTTCTCAGGCACGATATTTCAGCGTTGCCCGCCGCTCTAACACGCATTTGAAGTTTTACTAAGACAAGATGATGTAAAGCTAGTCAGCTGTCTAACCCTACAAGTGTGTTTGAGATTGTCTAAAATGAACAATTAAACATCGAGAAACTCCAGTACATGATACAACTATGAAGTTATATGTCGGCAAGGACAGCCAGCTAATTATAATTCTACCCAACTAAAGACGGATTACATAACCTCATAAAAAATCAGTCCAACTCAAAACACCTAATGAACCAGGCCAAAAGATAAGGTACCATACAATTGACTGCGCATGATCTCCAAATGAAGTTTGGCAATGGGTATGGGCCGATTGAGCTCTAATCCAGAAAGATATTGACCATCTGCCTTGCTGGCCTGCTTAGTGATTGAAGGTTTCTCTGGTTTTGCTTGAACACCAGATCTTTGGAGCTTCGGTTGGTTTCTGCCATACAAGGCAATAAGCATATGCATCAGACCAAGAATATAAAAGAAGGATCAAATGAAATAATAGACCAGCAGAGAACACAAAATCAAATTCATCAGGTCAGATAACCTGATATTGAACATAATAAATTACTGGTATTGAACATACATTGATTTCAGAAGACTGCAGGTTAAAATGAAAAACCAAAGTCCAATGGCATTGTTAGATGGTTAAGGATAAAAAGGTCCAATCACATTGTCCACAACAGTTGTATACAAGAATGGAACGGAAAGTCAGCACAAAAATAGAGTCAAAAACAAAACAGAGTACAATTTAATACTAGGAGAGGTATACCGATTAAAACAGATCCAAGTTGCGATCCTGGTATGCTTCTGTCTTTTATAGCTGATATACACAGTAACAGAGCCAGAAACTTCCCCCGCAGGGGGGGGGGGAAGAATAAATGTTACGTAAAATTAAGAAATTAAGTGGCAAAAAAAATTAATTTTTGGGGCTTGGGAGGAAATAGCCTGTCTAAGCCCCAACATAGTTCTGTCCCTATGTGTGTGTGTGTGTGTGTGTGTGTGCATATAGGGAGAGGGAGAGGGAGAGGGAGAGAGAGAGCATGAAAATATTAAAAGTAGAATTGTAGAATGAGAGTTTGGAAACAGGGAAGTATTATACCACCTGTTTTCTTCTTTCATACATAAATCGAAGAAAACCCTCAGCACAATAAGGGAAGATTGAATACATGTGGTTAATCTGACCAGATAAACTTAAGAAATCTATGGTAAACATGGCATGTAAATTATATCTTTAGTTGTTTGTGTAAACATGCAGAATATTTTTGCAAGATAGGAAAACAGAATAAAAGGAAGTTGCTTCTTACCTTCACCATGATAACTGAGTGGAAGCTGCCACAAGCAGTAACATCATTACTAAACCATAGTTTACCAAACTATCAACATCTTCAAATTTTCCTATCATTTCCTTTATAGTAACCCAGGCATGTGTAAAAGGACAAGTGGCCTGTTGATCCTGCACCATGCAGTACTTTTCCCCTTTAGTACCATATTCAGAGAACAAAGGTTTGTAGATGACCCAAAAAAGATTTTGGGAGAACATTTGTTCTGGGTAGGAAACAGTACTCACCCTCGAGTTTGAGTCACCAATTCGCTTCTGAACAGTAGAACTTACTAATGTTCTTTGTAAGTCCTGGACAGCAGATGGATCCAATGAAGTTTTGATTTTAGCCCTGCTGGAATCTTTGCCTGAGAGGGCTCTATAAGCTGAATCAGTGTGAATTGTTTCCATAACTGAACCAAAGAAGTTCGTTACAGGTACCTAATGAGAAGGGGAGAAAGAGCTAAATTAGAGAAGGTTTTATCCACTATGATCATTCTTTTCAATTAGAAGTTTTCAGGTGTTTTGCAAGTGCTGAACCCATTAGGCTATGACATATGATCAAGCCGTGTTTAACTATGATCTTCGCTGTGGCATGTGGAAACCAACCCATGGACTCTGTTGATTGAGGTTCGATTTTTGTTCCTTTTCTTTTTCTCCCCCAAGTCACCCCTCCCCTACCCTTAAAAAAAATCCCTTAAAGGTAATTCTAAAAAACTGATTTCTTTAATTTTCTATTTTGCAGCATATGTTGCAAGGCCAAAATCCATTAGCTGCTGTTCATTAAAAAGTTTACAACCAGAAATGCAATCTTAGAAAGAACAAAAATAGAGTCCCACAGTATTTCCTTCCCACACAACTCCAGTAAAACCAAAAAAGTTATCCAAGCTCTTGTCTCTGACATGACATGTGACATAAGATGGCGTGTCTTGACAAAGTAATTTTCAAAATTAATGACCCATTTTCCTCTCTTTTCGCTTACTTTTCACCAAGGCCTTTCTATCCTCTTTTTTTTTTTTTTTTTTTGAGCTGCGGGGGGAGAATGGTGTTACAATAACCAAGAAATAACTCAACACAGAAATGAGAACAACAATACCCACAATGGATCTAAAACTTGTGTACCTCCTCCAACAGCCGTTGGTATAGATTTGTTCGGTAGTAAGCAGTTGACAACAACAAATTTGGATTATATGAACTGAAAAGGCTGTAAAATACGAAGAAAAATACAAAAGTTATGATCCATGATAATCAAAGATTAAGATTTATGGTCCAGTAAGAGTTAAAAAAATCAACTAGCAGGCCAATGTGCACAAGAAATCTTCAACTATGCATGTCGTCATTGCAATGATGGAACAGAAATATTAATTCCCAAAAAGGTGCTATTTTCCACTGGAAACCTGCGGAGAGCACCCAAGATTAACACATCCGTTAAATAGAATATACATTTACAGTGAAATAAAAGGCCTTAAAGGCACAGAGATGCATTGAAAGGTCAATAAGGGTCACATAAACTGCTCTGTTTAGGTGACTGCAGTTCATACATGCTTGATTTGTTTCAGGATGTTACAACCAATGTTTTGGAAATAAATTTCTGAACTTTCTTATGTTTCCATTTTGTTTCCAAGATGTTTTCGAACATGGAGGAAACATTTCTATTTCCGAGCTGATCTGATGTGCATATATGTTACAACCTATGAATCAGGTAAGTGTTTTCTCATCTTTTTTAACTGGTGATTGGATCTTTAAGAAGAAGTAAAGGTGTCATATGAACCTTCATTTTTCTAAAACTTTCATTCCCAAGTGTACTCACATTAAATTCACCAGCCACTCTTACCAAGTCCTAAACCAAGCTGTGGCACCTTCCAGCATCACCTCTCTTTCCAGTTTGTTTAAATGTTTCACTATATCTCAATGAGAATTAAGATCCTTGGCCCATCCAAGAAGGTGCACATTCAATCCGAAAAAGTAATACCTCCCCACCCCCTTCAAAAAAAAAAGTCTTTTATCCCCTCCCCCTAATTAAAAAAACCTCTCTTCCACTTCCAAACTTTAATCACTTGTTTAGATCCGGTACTCACTTTATCAGATAAAACAATAAATGAATAGTCAAATGGATATTCTGAGTGTTGAATTTAATTCAACACGACAGTCAAATAGAATCTAGTCTGAGCAGCCTGAGATTGATACAGCATCACAAAGTTGATTTCAACTTGAGTCCAGGCTGAATATTGGTTTGGTTACAGCTTTAGGCAAAATCCCAAACTACCTGAATTCCAGCCAAAGATACCACAGATGTGGCCAATGTAAAAAGTAACTTTATGAACGTCTTCCAAAATTAAAGAGTAAAAACAGTAGTGAACATAACTGAAGCCAAACAATTTTTGAGGTTTTATTTACCCCATACCTGCTCAATGAAGCATTGTCGTACATATTTAGCCGCTCAAAGAAAGCAAGGGTATAAAATGTGAAACGATCTACAACAGAGACACCAACCTATGTCAAAGAAACAATTTTAGTAGGAGATATAGTATCCAAACTCCTGAGAGTGAATGGAGGAAATAAGTGGCAAACAAAAAAGCATTCTGTAGGAATATGAATAGTCAACCACTTGACCGTTTGCAAAATATACTGTTACACTGTCAGTAAATCCACACTTACATCAGAATCCAAGTGATGCGAATAAGAGTTTTCTCCTTTCATGCTACTTCCAACAGCCAAGACATCAGGTGAATGAAGCTGCAAGATGAGGAAAATATTCCCTTGCACATCAAATTATTCCTCAGGAAAGCATACTTCACATTTCCATAACAAGAAAGGAGGTACAAATCCGACTGATTAATTCCTAAACAAAGAGGCTCTTCCACATGCAAAATGCAATGAAAACAGTGGAAAAATTCCACATGTATGATGGTTGTCTAGCTTGAACATCAAGGACTAGAAGGATTTATAAACATGACCACACAAAGGTAAAACTAGAAAGGAAGTTTCAAAAAGTGAATGAAAGGTACTTTAATGATGAACTCTCCAATTAAGTTAAAAAGCATTCGCCTGGCTTCTGCAGATGTCCTATGGGACTCAGACAGGATGATTTGTTATTAGTCCCACTGGCTAACAATTTGATGGTAAAGGTTGCATGAAAAGGTGTAATTAAGGTGTGTAATTTAGAAACATAGTGAGACATCACCACCTTTATTATATGTCAATGATATTCTCCTTGGTGGAATCAATAAGAACAAATTCAAATTATCAGGTGCACTTAAGAGTTTCAGAATCTTTGGCTGGCATACAATTTACCAGATTTTTATTGCAGTTTTGATAAGCTATGTTTTTACCATAGTTTATTGTGAGGGGCTTCACGTCTAATCTATAGTATCGCCTTATCTTTAAAACAATCAAAGAAATTAATCACTTTCCCTCCTTTTTCCATTGCGCACCCAAATCAGTAGTAAAGAAGATAATTAAATATAATTACAGAGAGTGAGACTTATACAATAAACCTATCTGATGTCAAAACAACTACATCATCACTAGCAGCATTGATAATAAGTTCTCTGAAACAAATCCAACTCATCAGAAGAAGGCGATGGTATATTGAAATCTAGAATGATGACAATTTGATAACAAGGATCAAAATTTTGTTTCGGTGAATAGTTTCAATCCACTTCGAAACAGAAACGTTTTATTAATGTTTTGGAAATATTCTAGAAACATGATGAAAATAAACAAAAAAATTCCTTCCTTGATAACTCAACTGCATCATTATTGAAGCAATTTTTCTGTTGCGAGCTGAAGGAATTGCTATTTTTTAGTCCAGTTAGGTCCAATACATTGGCCAACAAAATCCAAAATTAAAGAAAAAGATACTACAAAATTCACATCTCAGCCATTTGATTTTAAAATCCCAAGTTCACCAATTCAAACAAGTTGATCTAATTTTTCCGACCATGAGGTGCCATCTTATGAACTACATAATGTTTTGATCAGCATATTATGAACTACATAATTCTACCAACATACACACATAACTAACTAAAGTAGTTCNCTTTTTTTTTTTTTTTTTTTTTTTGAGCTGCGGGGGGAGAATGGTGTTACAATAACCAAGAAATAACTCAACACAGAAATGAGAACAACAATTCCCACAATGGATCTAAAACTTGTGTACCTCCTCCAACAGCCGTTGGTATAGATTTGTTCGGTAGTAAGCAGTTGACAACAACAAATTTGGATTATATGAACTGAAAAGGCTGTAAAATACGAAGAAAAATACAAAAGTTATGATCCATGATAATCAAAGATTAAGATTTATGGTCCAGTAAGAGTTAAAAAAATCAACTAGCAGGCCAATGTGCACAAGAAATCTTCAACTATGCATGTCGTCATTGCAATGATGGAACAGAAATATTAATTCCCAAAAAGGTGCTATTTTTCACTGGAAACCTGCGGAGAGCACCCAAGATTAACACATCCGTTAAATAGAATATACATTTACAGTGAAATAAAAGGCCTTAAAGGCACAGAGATGCATTGAAAGGTCAATAAGGGTCACATAAACTGCTCTGTTTAGGTGACTGCAGTTCATACATGCTTGATTTGTTTCAGGATGTTACAACCAATGTTTTGGAAATAAATTTCTGAACTTTCTTATGTTTCCATTTTGTTTCCAAGATGTTTCCGAGCTGATCTGATGTGCATATATGTTACAACCTATGAATCAGGTAAGTGTTTTCTCATCTTTTTTAACTGGTGATTGGATCTTTAAGAAGAAGTAAAGGTNTTCGAACATGGAGGAAACATTTCTATTTCCGAGCTGATCTGATGTGCATATATGTTACAACCTATGAATCAGGTAAGTGTTTTCTCATCTTTTTTAACTGGTGATTGGATCTTTAAGAAGAAGTAAAGGTGTCATATGAACCTTCATTTTTCTAAAACTTTCATTCCCAAGTGTACTCACATTAAATTCACCAGCCACTCTTACCAAGTCCTAAACCAAGCTGTGGCACCTTCCAGCATCACCTCTCTTTCCAGTTTGTTTAAATGTTTCACTATATCTCAATGAGAATTAAGATCCTTGGCCCATCCAAGAAGGTGCACATTCAATCCGAAAAAGTAATACCTCCCCACCCCCTTCAAAAAAAAAAGTCTTTTATCCCCTCCCCCTAATTAAAAAAACCTCTCTTCCACTTCCAAACTTTAATCACTTGTTTAGATCCGGTACTCACTTTATCAGATAAAACAATAAATGAATAGTCAAATGGATATTCTGAGTGTTGAATTTAATTCAACACGACAGTCAAATAGAATCTAGTCTGAGCAGCCTGAGATTGATACAGCATCACAAAGTTGATTTCAACTTGAGTCCAGGCTGAATATTGGTTTGGTTACAGCTTTAGGCAAAATCCCAAACTACCTGAATTCCAGCCAAAGATACCACAGATGTGGCCAATGTAAAAAGTAACTTTATGAACGTCTTCCAAAATTAAAGAGTAAAAACAGTAGTGAACATAACTGAAGCCAAACAATTTTTGAGGTTTTATTTACCCCATACCTGCTCAATGAAGCATTGTCGTACATATTTAGCCGCTCAAAGAAAGCAAGGGTATAAAATGTGAAACGATCTACAACAGAGACACCAACCTATGTCAAAGAAACAATTTTAGTAGGAGATATAGTATCCAAACTCCTGAGAGTGAATGGAGGAAATAAGTGGCAAACAAAAAAGCATTCTGTAGGAATATGAATAGTCAACCACTTGACCGTTTGCAAAATATACTGTTACACTGTCAGTAAATCCACACTTACATCAGAATCCAAGTGATGCGAATAAGAGTTTTCTCCTTTCATGCTACTTCCAACAGCCAAGACATCAGGTGAATGAAGCTGCAAGATGAGGAAAATATTCCCTTGCACATCAAATTATTCCTCAGGAAAGCATACTTCACATTTCCATAACAAGAAAGGAGGTACAAATCCGACTGATTAATTCCTAAACAAAGAGGCTCTTCCACATGCAAAATGCAATGAAAACAGTGGAAAAATTCCACATGTATGATGGTTGTCTAGCTTGAACATCAAGGACTAGAAGGATTTATAAACATGACCACACAAAGGTAAAACTAGAAAGGAAGTTTCAAAAAGTGAATGAAAGGTACTTTAATGATGAACTCTCCAATTAAGTTAAAAAGCATTCGCCTGGCTTCTGCAGATGTCCTATGGGACTCAGACAGGATGATTTGTTATTAGTCCCACTGGCTAACAATTTGATGGTAAAGGTTGCATGAAAAGGTGTAATTAAGGTGTGTAATTTAGAAACATAGTGAGACATCACCACCTTTATTATATGTCAATGATATTCTCCTTGGTGGAATCAATAAGAACAAATTCAAATTATCAGGTGCACTTAAGAGTTTCAGAATCTTTGGCTGGCATACAATTTACCAGATTTTTATTGCAGTTTTGATAAGCTATGTTTTTACCATAGTTTATTGTGCGGGGCTTCACGTCTAATCTATAGTATCGCCTTATCTTTAAAACAATCAAAGAAATTAATCACTTTCCCTCCTTTTTCCATTGCGCACCCAAATCAGTAGTAAAGAAGATAATTAAATATAATTACAGAGAGTGAGACTTATACAATAAACCTATCTGATGTCAAAACAACTACATCATCACTAGCAGCATTGATAATAAGTTCTCTGAAACAAATCCAACTCATCAGAAGAAGGCGATGGTATATTGAATTCTAGAATGATGACAATTTGATAACAAGGATCAAAATTTTGTTTCGGTGAATAGTTTCAATCCACTTCGAAACAGAAACGTTTTATTAATGTTTTGGAAATATTCTAGAAACATGATGAAAATAAACAAAAAAATTCCTTCCTTGATAACTCAACTGCATCATTATTGAAGCAATTTTTCTGTTGCGAGCTGAAGGAATTGCTATTTTTTAGTCCAGTTAGGTCCAATACATTGGCCAACAAAATCCAAAATTAAAGAAAAAGATACTACAAAATTCACATCTCAGCCATTTGATTTTAAAATCCCAAGTTCACCAATTCAAACAAGTTGATCTAATTTTTCCGACCATGAGGTGCCATCTTATGAACTACATAATGTTTTGATCAGCATATTATGAACTACATAATTCTACCAACATACACACATAACTAACTAAAGTAGTTCTACGTTATTGCACATAAGATCTAAAGATTTCAAGGAAAAACCCAATAAAATTTCAAAATCTCTGAATATTTCTTTGTTCTTGAACGAGTAAATTCGTTGAGTCTTAACCAACCCAGTATCATTCATTTACTTGTCTGCTAATTGGGTTTCCTTTGAGTTTGGGTAAGACATGATGTCTTCACACTCAGGTATTGCCTGGCCCAACTTTGGCACCAGTAAATTTTTTCTACAAATATGATTAACGTAACAAACACATATGCTACAGGGAAAGAACGGTTACCATTTCAGACATCAATAACTCTCAGATACATCCAGACACGTGGCTGCACTTCTGGGACGTGTTATGATTCAAACATAAATCCTTGATTTGGACATGCGAATGATGCTTTTTGGAGAATTTTCCAAGACATAAACAACAATCCCTTAAGGACTCCCAAGGCTAATAAGGTTGAATGGCATGTCACGCATAGTGTACTGGCCCGGTCACTTCAACACTAAAACAGCTTGGGAAGGATTAAGCACTTCCAAGGCTAAGGTTGAATTGCATGTCACTATTTTGTTCTCCAAGTTGATTCCTAGAAATGCATTTATCCTATGGTTGGCGATATGACATAGGTTGAGCACTCAAGACAGAATGGTTTAGCAGAAGCGAGAGAGAGAGAGAGAGAGAGAGTTGAATCCCATGATCACCTTTTCTTTTACCACTCATTTATGCTTCGTGTCTAGTCTACCATCATCAGAAAAGTGAGGTGCTGGGGAGGGATAAAACCTGGGATGAGAGTTGCATGGGCTGCACCATTTAAGGGGCAATTCACTTAATGCTTAACGAATGAAGCAATCCTTAGCGGCAAGGACACAGCGGGGTATTACTTAAATTTTTTAAAAAGAATAGGGGCACCGGAGCAAAGATGTTTGTGCCCTTATTTGCAAAAACAGAAGAAGAAAACCCTAACTTAGAGCATCTCCAACCCTCCTCTTTAAAATAGTTAGTCAAAATATATTTAAATATTACATTCACTAATTTAGCTAACTACTTTTATAAATTCACTCCAACCACACTCTCTATTTTAGCTAACTACTACACTCAATTTTCACTAACTTCTAATAATTTAAAAGAAGTAAAACATATATATAGAGAGAAAAAAAGGTAGAAAGAGTATTTAGAGAGCTCAAATGGCTCACCACATTTGGTGAGCCATTTGGGTTAACTAGGAAATAGAGAGTAGAATAGTGAGTGGGTTGGAGAGAATTTTTTGTGTTTTGCTAGCTAAAGTAGCTAAAAGAGAAGAAATAGAGAGTGGGTTGGAGATGCTCTTATTCGACAGACACCCCACCTCCAATCAATCGATCGAAGACATCGAAATTCTCTCTCTCTCTCCAGGCAATCGAGCTACTATCTCTTCTCCAACATTGACGCCGACAGGTCTCCTCTTTCTCTCTCCCCAGGCATATCGGGTAAGCTCCCTCTCCTCTCTCTCCTCTCTCTTTCTCTATCCTCTCTTTTGTCTTACCAGTTACCTGCTAAGAAGCACGAATACTCCTCAAGGGTCGACGTGACGGTGTCAAACACGGATACATATGGGACATGGCTGGACATGTGTCCGACACTACCCCAAGTGTCCTAAACAATGCAGATGCATTTGTATACGACCCATGGCCATGGATCAATATTGTAAACAAAAAAAAA